GGCGGGCGCAGGAATGGCGCGGAGGGAACTTAAACGAGGAAGGAGGGGAGGGGGGGGAGTGAAGCAAAAATGAGAAGTGCTGCAGCCCGCTCTTGCTTTTTCTGCCCCCAAAGCCGCAGGGAAGCGCAGCGCCGGAGACACAGCATCTGTCCTGGCTCACGCTTGTAGACCCGCATCTGCTCGTTCACGCCCTTTCCGTGAAGGACCTTGTCTGCTGAGGGTCTCAAGCAGGCCAGCCGTCATCCGGATGTGTGGTTTCGAGGCGTACGCGGTGTGTCTGCCCTGATCTTTCCAAAACGCAGGCACCGAGGGCCCCGGTGCACGGGGTTATCCCCTTCAACAGGTTCGGCAAAAATCCTAATGATTTCTACCTTTTTCACCACCTTAAAAGGCAGTCTTAAGTGAGCCAGGATGGTATTTGCCTCTCTGCCTTGCTTTCCTCTCCATCCCTTTTTACTCCACAGGAGTCTGTTTTTTTTTTTTTTTTCCCTCCCCCCTGCTCCTGGGCAGTAACAGAAATCAGGACAGCCAGAGGAGGAGGAGGCAGAGAGCTATTTCAGGGAGCTGCTGTTATCTGTTCTATGTTAATCCTCTGGCTGGGTGGGGGGAAGGTTTTCCTGAGTGCTGTGCTGGGAGGGCAGATGTTAAATGTTGGGAGGCAAAGAGAAGAAGACAGGATTAGAGGGAGAGGGAGCTAGCGCCTGGTTCTGCTTGCGTTATCTTATCTGCTCTGCTTTTATGGACGCAGCGGAGTGAGCGATCCCACTTGTGTTTTGGGGGTTTTGTTTTGTGTGTGGATTTTCTTCTCCCCCCTTCCCTCCTTCCTTTCCCCCACCCCTTTCTCACTCCCTCGGTTCTCTGTGTATCAAGGTCCCTTCGCATCAGCGTTGTCCAGGAGCTCTGGAAGTGCCCTCGCTCCCCTTCCTGCCTGTTTCGCCTCCATCAGCAGCTGAGCTGGTGAGATAATGGAGCTGAGGACTGTGGTAGCCACGGTGGAAAGCGGGGAGCAAGACACAGTTCTCAAGGTGCTTCAGGTCTACAACCAGGAGGTGAGTGAGCACCAAACCTCTGCCTGACGTCAGCTGCTTCTGTTTGTGAGCCTAGAAGCAGGTTGGCCATGTTGTGGGATTTCTGTGCCATCCGGCGGTCCCCCGTCTGTCTCCTCTAAGCGCATCTGTCTCTGCATTACTGCCGTAAAAATGTTGTAGACCGCTTCATCTTTTGTTTGCAGACGGTTTTGTATTTCGTGTTTCGGTAAGGAACAGCTAAGCAGCATCTCTTCGTCTTATTTCCTTGGTGTACTGGAATTAAAGCACATAGAAAGCATTTTTTATTATCCGGAGCACAAGTAAAGCATGGTAGGGAAATAAACATCAGCATGAATATGAAGTAGGAGGAGCTTTTAGGTTAAAGCAAGGTTTGGAGGTAATAGAACTGAGGCCCAGGGAGGAGCTGCAGGTGAAATAGTGGCTGTGATTTGCAAGCAAAAGATCACCAGCGGTGGACATGGATGGACTGCTGGAATTAGGTACAGGTGCCTGATCTGAAAGCTAACAATAAGAAAAGGATAAAAAATGAATATAGGATATGAAAAGAACGGCTAGGAAGCAGAAATGGAAGTGTTCCTAGCCTTAAAGCAGCAAAGATGATCTGTGGGGGTAGTTCCCTTTTGAAATAGACTCTAGCTGTCAGGGAAATATCTCTTAGAGCATTTCCACCAGGATAGGGCTGGCCCTGCAGATCTACATGACTCATTCTGCACTGTTCTTAAGCAGGTGGGAAGCAAGCAGGGAAAAACTGCAAGTATTGTGCACAAGTGTGCACGGGGAAAATGTGCAACTATTCCCAGCAGTCACTTTCGAAACATTGGAAATCTGAACTAAGAAGCAGAAGGTCCCCACTAGAAAGACGGTCAGCAGGATTACAGTCACCTACAGTGGACGTAATGCTGAAGAAATCAGGAGAGCAAAGAGGGAGTTTAATGTGTCAAATTTAAGACGTTCTTGGTAGAATTCCTCCAGCTGGATCCTTTGTCGGTGTATCAAGCGTAGGAAACTTGTGAGAATGTCAGTGATTTTGCTAGTCGGTCTAGAAGAAATGGAGCAGTCAAAGAGGATAGGAAACTACAAATAAACTAAGCAACTTCTCTACATGAGTTTTCACTGCAAAAACTGATAGTAAGGTATCACTTCCTGGGCATGTTTTTGGAATGCAGTTTGCTATTATAGATACGGTCGATTCTTGGTTGCCAGGAATGAAATGCGGGAGGATACTCCAACTGAAGCAAAACCACAGGTATTGCAGCAACCCATACGAATGAGATGACAGGAACTTGCAAAAAAGATGTGATGGGAAAGGAAAAGAACAAGTGACATGGCGCTGTCTTCAGAGCACACCGGTTCGAGGACTGAACTGCCAGTTCCTTGTAATGTGGTGCTACAGCCTGTGCGCGTACCAACTCACAGCGCTAAAGCATGGAAGGCCAGCCCCTGGCACAGCGCTTACAGGAATTCAGATGTCCTGCTTCTGCACCGAGGTTTCTTAGCTGGCATGTCTGCATCACTGTATCCATCCTTCTTTGTTCTAGGCCAAAAAAGCCAAAGCTGTCCCAGGGATCTTAGTAACTGTGACGCTGTTGATCTGCAAACTGTATCGTCTACTTACAAGTAGCCAGGAGCTGGCCCTGTGTGTAAAAGGCAGTGAACAACAGAGGAGATTATGCTTGCAGAGTGAATGAGTCAAGGCTAACAAGGAACACGTGTGATTTCCAAAAGCTCAGTGCAGACGATCACTGACTGCAGTGAGCAGGGAATGAGATACAGTTGGACAACTGAGCAGCTCATGGGCAGGAGAACCATAAGGTGATACATACCGTAGGAGACAAGCTGAGCTATTCAGACATACAGATGGGATCTCGGTGAACTGCAATCACTCAGGAGAAGAATTAGTCCAGGTTATAAGAATGATTGTTTGTGGTAAGACTAATTGTCTTTATTGAACAGCTTCGTAAATGCATCTGTGCAATGTAACTTGGCAAAAGAGGTGATGGGGAGCGTTAAGAAAATGATGGAGATAATGATATCCGCAAACCTCTGTCTAGCTATATAAATATTGACCCTCCTTACGCTTCTTCTCCCAGAAGACCATAATGGGTAAAGTTCTGGGACCGTCTTATGCAGGAGATCGGACTGACTAATCTAACGGTCCTTGTCTGTGACTTGTGAGACAACACATTGGTGAAAGGAAAAGCTCCTACACCGCACGGTTGATCTGTGGACCTCTCTGGCAGAAGTGCTCGCAGAAGCAGAAAGGTGAATAGGATGGAGTGAGCTGTTCTGTATGCCTGCTGTTAGCAATACGTTCTTTGCAGTACTTGTTGTGAAGCCTGGCTTATTGAGAGCTGCGTGAAAGAAACTGCAGACTTCAGATGAACTTGTTTACCTCCCCACCCCGCAGTGCCACCCAAGTTGGTGGGGGATATTTATGCAACGTTTTGTGGAGTTCAAGTTCAAGTGCAAGTTCAAGTACTGATGCAAAGTAATGCAGGGCAGTAAAGCGCACCCTGTGAGACGCCATGTGGAGAAGGGTGTTTACCTTTGCTAATCAGTTGTGTGTAAAGAACATGAGCTGAAAAACAGTTGTACTTCCAGACACTGTGGGAATGAAGAACACAAGGATCTGTTTGCAAATAACAAGAGGCAGTACTTTCTTTCCGTAAGGAAATGGAACAATAAATATCAAGGGGAAAAAATGTATTGGCACAGCTTGGGATGTGCTGTTGTGACACTGAGCAGAGGAATGATAAAATACTGCAGTATATTTGGATTGCGATGAATACCTACTTTCCTCCTGCAGTATTTAAAAATAAATCCGTCAGTCGGATGGGCACAGCTTCGGCCCGTGGCATTCAGGCCTCCACTGTAGAGCCAGTAAGAAAGTGTAACAGTTAATATTCATCACAAATGTTTTCTGGAGATGAATGAGAGGCAGGGACCTCCAGAATAACGGGGATCTTGGTCAATGAAAGCATTTCAGACCTCACGGTATGGCCGATATCTGTGCAATTCAACCCAGATTCATCCCTGCTAATTCTGAAGCACGTAGTTTTGAGTTGCTTAAAGAAGGATGATCTTGGAGAGAAAAAACAGCAAGCAAGTTCAAACCTCGGTGGCAGGAAAGTTGTCCTGTCTGATTTCTCAGGAACTTCCACTGCTTGCTACCATCCTGTGAATATCTTAGACCCCTGTAAATGCTCTGGCTCTCCTTGCCATGCTGATTCTCTGCCACTCCACTGGTAAGGACCGTCCTTGAAAAGATGTGCTTGCTTTTGCCAGTGTTTTAGACCTGCTGCTTACCAGCTGAGTGACCCTTTCCTGATGGGGGCTCAACAGTTCTGCAGGTTTTTAACCTATTGCTGGAGCTTAATTTTTTTTTCCCCCACCACCTCTTCTGTCCCCACAGAAATATCAGTGCTTCACCTTTGATGATGAGGAGCGGGAAGACAGGAAGGTAAGCATGCTCTTTGATTTCTTCCTGTAATTGGGTGGGTAAATCTGCTGCTGCTCCATACTTGAGTGCAGCACGGCTTGGTGGTAGTGAATTCCAGAGGCAAAGAAGTCAGTGCTTTTTTCAGACTTGGGGAAGTACTTGGCTAGGGAATGGTGTGCGCAAAGCATCTGGCCTCAGCTTTTCCATCAGCAGATGATGCTTTAGGATAAAGGGCAGCGTCTTCCCAGCCTTAATGACCCTTCTAGGTTCAGTGCTGCACATAGTCTCAGCCATAGGTATATGAAAAGTGTTCGCCTAAATGGTATGAGTGCCCTAGGCAAAGATTATAGCAGCATGCAAGCCTCTAGCAGGTAAGTGCTTTCTCTGCGAGTTAGCTGCAGCGTATGGCTAAGGCTGTAGACTGACAAACACTTTAAGATAGCATAATCTGGCACTCAGAGGAGAGAAATACTCCTGGCTGGGCATGTTCATTCTTGCAGCGGGTCCTCTCTCATGCCAGGGCAGGCCTTTGCATGGCTGTACACTGAACGTGTTCGGTGGGCTGATCTGGCTAAAGAGTAATTTATTTATTTATTTTTTTGGCCTGGGTTATTTTCCAGCTGGATTAGTTTTGTGGTCCATTTTATTGGTTGGTTGCACTAATGCTTGTGTTAGCACAGCAGTGGAGCAGGAGTAGGCATGAACCAGGCAACTGGGGTGGAGAAAGGGACCTCTTCTGTCAGTGCCAATGCCAGCTAATGCTACGTGAAGTTTTTCCAACTACAGCCTGAAGCGAGGGACTGGGTCTGAGAAGATGTGAGCCCTTTGCTTCGTTAGTGACTTCCTGTTTGAACTAGGAGAGCCCGATAGGCTGTCAGTTCAGACAGCCTTGGGTACTTCACTTTTTGGGTGTGTCCCACGAGATATCTATTGAGCATCACATCTTATTCCTGGTGATCAGTTCTTCTGAAGGTTTAGACCTGGGCACACGCTCTGAAGTCTTAACCTGACTCAGTCAGAGGCCTTGGTCACTTATGAATATATATTTTTTAACTCCTCTGCTTCAGTCTCCTCATATGGAAGGAGAAGAGGAATGGCTGTACTTTCTCCCTTCTCCAGGGTGTGATTGTGAGACACGCTTCACTCGTGCAGGCAAAGTTTTCTGGATGAAGACTGCTGGAAAGAGAAAATGAGTTTGTGGCAAGGGTGCAAAGGGGGTAAAGCTCGTTCAGTTCTCATATTAAGCCTCATGCTAAGAACTAAAATGTACAGTTCCTTCATTCCTGTCCTCAGTCTTTTTATTATTATGAAATATCTTTGATTAGGCTGTATTAAGCCAATTACACTGAGCTATAGCAAACCCTGTAATCACTGGTGTTTTGATTCCTCTTGTAATATGTATGGGAAAATGTGTGCTCTTACATGGTATTGTCTTAGAGAGATCTAGTGAAATCTTGCCTCACCATGGTATGAGTCGTTACGCAACGGGTAACGAACAGTTACTAGTGTAACGTGGAGTATTATTGTACATAACCAAGATGCACCTGGCTATGTGAAGCATTAGCTTTGTTCTTGGACTCTGCCACTGCTTGCTGTCACATAAGATACCATTAATTCAGAAAGATTAGATCTTCAGGCATTGTAAACCAGTGCTACTGGAGCTCTGCCAGCCTATACCTTCTGAGGATCTGGGTCTCCAGGCAGCCCTGAGAATTAGGGCGGTATTTTTTATTTAAATCTTCTGAGGTCTTTTCACCTCCTTTCCTAGGGCGTTCCCCACTCTTCTCAATCCAGTTAGGTCCTTTTTCCCTCCCTCAACAGTTTTCTGATCTGTCTCTCAAACTTGTCAATCTGTTTCTGGAGCACCCAAAGCAGACACCTCCCTAATCTTAGAGCTTTGGGTGCAGAGCCTTAGACTGCTGCTACTGACTTGGTTGTTGCTCCTCATTGAAGCCAAGGGTAAGACCCTTTTTCACCCTGCCCTCTCTTAGTTTATTGCAGCTGTCAAGTAAACTATTAGCCTAAACCATCATAACCGTGGATGACACTGAAATATGTAGTGTTTGCAAGAAGCGATACGGTCAGTTCCTCTGGCTCAGCGGAGGGACCAGTAGTTCACTTGGTCAGTACTAGTTGCCTGTTTGTACTCTCCTATTACATTTGATACCCTCTGCCAGCCATTTTGTCTCGTGCTGGGCATCCTTTCTTGAACTGGGTGAGGATCAGGTGCCAGAGCCAACCACTCCTGAGTTCTGCCAAAACTCATATCTGAATCTGAGCTGTGTAGCAGGCCCGTTTCTAGATGATGTTCACCTCTTCCAAGACAGAGCATTACAGGGCAGTATTTCTGTGTGTGGGGGAGCACTGTTAACTGTCCGTGCGTGAGGCATTACTTGTTTCCCTCTGCACAGAAAATGGCCCAGCTGCTGATCGAGTTCTTGGAAAGAGAGCTCCAGCCATCCTGCCAGGTCACATGTTTGGAAAGCATCCGTATCCTGTCCCGAGACAAATACTGCCTTGACCCTTTCACCACCAAGGAAGGCCTGAAGACTCTCTCCAGGCATGCTGGCATTGATTACTCAGAGGAGCTCATCCGAGAGGTCCCAGACTTGGATGTGATCCTAGAATCCCTCAAATGTCTCTGCAACATTGTCTTCAGCAGCCCTAGGGCACAGGAGCTGACAGCTGAAGCCCGGCTGGCGGTTGGCCTGGCCAAGCGCATCAAATTGTACAACGAGAGGAGCCTTCCCCACGAGGTCAAGTTCTTTGACCTGCGTCTCCTGTTCCTGCTGACAGCGCTCAGAGTGGATATCCGGCAGCAGCTAGCCCAAGAGCTCAGGGGCATCAGCCTGATGACAGATACCCTGGAGCTGACCCTCGGTGTGAAGTGGATGGACCCGTATGAAGTTGCCGCCGAGGAGGGACTTCTCCCACCTTTGCCTCGGCAGGAGACAGAGCGAGCGATGGAGATCCTGAAAGTGCTCTTCAATATCACCTTTGATTCCAGCAAGAGGGAGGTGGATGAGGTAAGCTCATTGGGTGTTCCACCCCACTGCACTTGTGCTTCTCCAGGCTATGGTTTGATTATTGTTTTTTTTTTTCCCCCCCCCTTCCACTTGGTATTTCCTCTTATTACAGACTGGCTGCCATGCAGCCCCTAGGGTCTGGACCACAATTGTGTGTAAGGGTAGCAAGAGACTTGAGTATCTGACCCGTCATCACTAGAGCACTGCCTCTATCCGATACGTTATTAACCTTTAAGACTTTTACAGCATTAAAATTTCTTTTAAAGTTTTTTTTTTCTCTTTAATGACTTGTTTTTTTGTGCAAGTGGGAGAGCAGAGCCCCCAGATAACTCACTCTTGGCTATGGCTGGTTATCCTCTCACCTTCTGAACCAGGTCAGAGGAAGGTGTCATGGAGGACATGGCTGGCAAATCTGTGGGCCGGTCTTTGGCCTCTTCTGGCCCTTGGCTCACTGTTGTAGAGTGATGGGAGCCATATGGGGCAGGAGGAAGAATGCATGTTGACAGGTAGCAAAAGGAGGGTCTGGAGGATATTTCCACTTGAATGTTCTGCTACCCATTCTTAGGTTGCTGGAGGGAGGGATAGGGCCGTGGGCTAAAGGGGGAGCAGACCCTCGGAGGTGGGGGAATGTAGATAAACATTCCCTTTTCCTCATCAAGGTTTTCATTTTCTGTTTTGGGGCCAGGAAGATGCTGCTTTGTACCGGCACTTAGGTGCCCTCCTGCGCCACTGCCTCATGATCTCTGCTGACGGAGAGGACCGGACGGAGGAATTCCACAGGTCTTCGTTAGATAATTAGATAATGTTCTTCTCTAGAAGCAGAGCTGAGGTCTCCCCAAGGCAGGTCCTGTCTGACTGTGGCGTTAACATTGGTTAATTGCTAAGATTTGATCATTGCTAAGATCACTGCTACCAAACAGGCATCTTTGGTCTGGCCTGCAGGTTCGTCACGCTGCTAGAATTCAGAAATAGCCCTGCCCTTTGCACAGTCAAATTATGTGCATTAATGCCACAAGGTCCCAGTCTACAGGAAGAAATGCTTTGTCCAAACTTGCCTGAGTGCAAGGGTTATATTCAGTATCCTGTGTGAAGTCTCCTCAGTGTTTCCACCCGCTTTAGTGGGCAACTTGCTGGAGTAGGTGTTTGCTACCTTAATTAAAGAGTCCCCGAGCTGGCCTTAATTAACTGACTGTCTCCTGAGTCACACTGAGAAATTGCCTGTGTCACGCTGCTGAGCTTTATTGGTCCAGGAGTGTCAGATCTGAGCGGGTGATGCCATCCTGTCCCAGAGAAGATCAGAGTCAGAGGGATCTTGAGCAGGGTGTTGCATGGATCATCAAGGTGGGAATTAGTGATGCAGGGAGAGACACTGGAGACAGACCTGCAACTGCCCAGGTTGGGTCCTGCTTGGTCTCTGTCAAGGTTCACTGTTCCTCAATTGTTGCTGAAGCATGTTTGGACTCCTAGCAAATTCTTCAACCGTCCAAAAAATGGTTTCACTTACTCAGTTCAGTGAGGAGCTTGGGAGCCAGGCCAGAGACAACTTGGGTTGTCTCCCATTGCTGGCAGTTAGTAATGAACCTATCTTTCTGGGTAGTTGAAGAATTTCACTGAACAAAGGTTCCTGACTTTGTGTTTGTGTCTCTTCTCATTCATATGTCCAGCCATACAGTTAACCTTTTGGGCAACCTGCCTCTGAAATGCTTGGATGTCCTCTTGACCCCGAAAGTCCGGCCAGGCTCACTTGAGTACATGGGTGTCAACATGGATGCAGTCAGCATCCTGCTAGATTTCCTAGAGCGACGTCTTGACAGGGTAAGTTGAGGGTTGCTCTGCAGAGTTCTTCACTGCTTGTTTTTACAAGTTCATTGCAGGGTGCCTTTTCTTCATCCTACAGTCAACCTTTTTAAAAAAAAAAAAAAGCCTAGCACCAACACATCATATCAAAACCACAGGAGCACTAGCAGGGCATGGTTAGTTTGGAGATATTCCTTTACGGAAGTAGCAGATTTTAGCAGAGACAAAACCTTTATGGGTGGCAGGATTCAGATAGTGTTTGTTGACTGGGAAGATGACTGTCATTGCTTTATGGACTGTATGGGGAGTGAGACTGGTTGAGCAGCAGATGGTTAGCTGGATGGTAAAATAAAAGTACTCTGTTTCTCGTGACTAATCAGTCATCTGGTGGGCAGCTTAATTGTTTGTATACAGCCAAATTGTTTGACTGACGGGTTAGCCTCTAACTCTGTTGTCTGAGGACTGGCAGCCATACTGTCGTTTACCAAGACCCCTCACCTTCCTGGACTCTTCCCAGCCCCTTGTGCCCTTTCGTTCCAGTGCTTCTGGAAGATGGAGTTTGCAGTATTTTCAAGCTGGCTGTGGTTTTCAATCTCCAGCATTATTCTGGGGGGCCTCCAAGTTTTACCACAGTTCTCTACTCTGGATGCCCTACACCAGTATTTATTTCCAGCACTGCTGTGCTACAGAGCAGGGCTCAGAAAGTCGTGCTGTTTGAGGAGTGACTGAGCACTGAAACTCCTGCTACAGTGGCTGGAAAGCCTCAGTGTCCATCCATTTCCCTGTTGGTCTGTACTCTCATGATCTCTACCGCTCACCAGACAAGTTGAGCTCAGCGTGACACGTCGTTCATTTTGTGGGCATTTCTGTAGGGACACAAGCTGAAGGAGAGTCTGACCCCTGTGCTGAACCTGCTGACCGAGAGCGCCCGAGTCCATCGCCAGACGAGGAAGTTCCTGAAGGCAAAGGTAACCCCTGGGTTCAGCCAGAAGTGCGGTGATGCTGCACGGGGGAGAGAGTAGCAAACTGCCTGAACGCTGCCTTCCTCCAGACCTCCTCCCTCTCAGTATTGGGTTCTGACATCTCGGAGGTTGAGGCCTTTGGTACCCACGGTGGTTTTTTTTCCACATCTCTCATGCTTCCTGGATTTATTAGTTTTGGCTGATTTATGAAATGCGCATACGTCTCCCCCCACCTGACCTGCAGTTGCTGTTCCAGCTCCACTGATCGCTCCTCACTGTGGCCTTGTAGGTGCTGCCCCCTCTCCGGGATGTAAGGAATCGGCCGGAGGTGGGGAACTCGCTGCGGAACAAGCTGGTGCGTTTGATGACCCACATTGACACTGATGTGAAGCACTGTGCAGCAGAGTTCCTCTTTGTGCTCTGCAAGGAGAGCGGTGAGTCGCTGCACACAGGCGCAGACAGAGTAGGGGCTGGAGAGGCATGAGGGAAAGCACAGGAGTGGTCTCTCTCCTTTCCCTGGCAGTGTCACGGTTCGTGAAGTACACAGGCTATGGGAATGCAGCTGGGCTCCTGGCAGCGCGAGGCCTCATGGCTGGTGGTCGGGAAGAGGGAGAGTACTCGGAGGATGAAGACACCGACACGGAGGAGTACAAGGAGGCAAAGCCCAAGTAAAGAACTCCATTTCCCCCTCCATAGCATCCCTTTTCCGGTACCTCATTCTCACTCCTCTGTCCCTTTCTTCACTTGCTTCTTTGCCATCTCCCTGCTATGCTCAGCCTGTCCTGCTCTTTCATGTACACAGATCCCTCCTCATTACTTAAGTTCCATTCTTAGCTTTGATCTCCTGCTCCACCATCTCTACCCGCTCCTTGGATTTAATGCCTCAGCGGCAGAGCTGCTCGTGGTGTGGGTGGTCACTAGTAGATATATCCAGTCTCTACAGCTGGGCACAGGCTCTAGAGCACAGGGGATTCTTTCAGCCGGAGTCCATTCTGTACCAGACCTGTAATGGTGTGTACATGGCAGTATATCTGCCTTTAATCCATTATCTGTGTATCTGTTTTGGTTCCCCCCCACCACCACCTCAGTACAGAGTTGGTCGGGCTTCCCTTATGCCCTGGCATTAAGGGGTAAGGGTGGTCCCTTCTCGCAGAAGGGTTGAAAGTGCCAAGTTACCCCTCTCTGCCTCGAGATCCCCTGTGTTGCTGGAGTGAGCTAGTTTTCCTCTTTGCTTGCTGGTGGGTGGTGGTAACTCAAGGATGAGGTGTGTGGAGGGAGAGCTGCGGAGCTGTGCTTAGCTTTGGGTCTCCCATCCTTTCCAGCATCTGGCTTAATGTCTCCACAGGCTTCTTGTTATATATATATATGTTGTGTTAGCTTTTTGCCCCCCTGACTAGAGGAGAGGGAAGAAGTGGCATTGCCCCTTGGGCACCTGGTTTAAAACTGCACTGTGGAAGTGGACAGGATGGGGATGTCTCCCCCACCAGAGAAATGGGAGGGGTTTGTATGGAGGACTGTGTGAGGGGCATGCAGAAAGAGATTGGACGCAGCACATTGTTTCACTGTGATAGCACCAGGGCTAACCTAGGCAGCAAAAGGAGAGGGCCCTGGTTTGCTGTGGCAATGATAACCAGCTCTGCTGTTGAGTTCCTCTGCTCCAGTATAGGTAAAGCCTGATTTTTAGTCAGCTCTCTTCTCACCTTTCTGTTTTACCTCCCTCCTTTGCCCTGGCCTCGTTGTTCTTTTTGTAGCATTAACCCTGTGACGGGACGCGTTGAGGAGAAACTCCCCAACCCCATGGAAGGGATGACTGAAGAGCAGAAGGAATATGAAGCCATGAAGTTAGTCAACATGTTTGACAAGCTGTCCAGGTACTAGAAGACTGTACGTGCCTGTCTTTGTATTAGCACCTGCATGTCTCTGACTTACACTTACCACACTTACCACAGACCTTTCTTTGAATGTGTTGCCAAGGCACCACAAACTGAAGGGACATAGAGGAGGGATTGAGGGAAATACTTGGGAGATATTTCTCAGGTTGTTTAAGTTGGGCCCTGTTAATGTCAGGGGAAGGCATTGCAAGGCCCGTAGCAAGCTCTTTGGCGTGACAGCGTACCACAAACTTCCCCTATTTGTCTGCGCTGTTTCCAGACTGCCACACCGCCAGGTTTGGCCAGGCACTCAGTAACAAAAGGAGCCATTGTCCTGGCAAGGCTGCTGGGTAGGAGGTAGCATTTTGGGGACAGATGGCAGCTGGTCCCCCTTCCCTGCAGGAGTGCTTTTTCCTACCATCTCTCATCCATCATTAATAGGTGCCGCAGATAGGAGCCCAGGATCTGCTGACTGAGTTCAGACCATCCCCAAGGGTGGGAAGGAAAAGGGCTGTGTATTTAATGTGTGTGTGGTAGAGGGAGAGGAACAGAGTCCAATGCCAGTGCTAATTTTCCTCTGGCAACCCAGCACTGCGCAGAATGAGACCTAAACCTGAGCCTATTTCAGGGACACTGAGAACGGCAACGTCTGTGGCTTGTTTCCAGCTCTTGCCTCACGGTGCTGGAGGTGTCACTGTTATAACTGTGTCCCGTCTTTGTAAGAAGGGAGACTTGCTCTCCTCTGAGCTGGCCCGGGCTTCTCCTGGGCTGCCTCGTGGCAGTACCCGCAGGCCCTTGCCTTTGTGACGTTGGTCTAGTATGTTCCTGTGGCGTAACCTTTACCCCCTTCTCCTCCCTGGCTGCAGAGAGCAAGTCATCCAACCCATGGGCATCACGCCGAGTGGCAACCTTGCTCCCATGGAGAACGCCATCCGCGATATGGCTGACGAGAGGTCGTCGTCCGACTCGGACCTGGGGTTGGACTGACCCCGACCCCTCGCCCCAACCCAAGAGGACTGGGGAGCCTCCATCTGCTCTCCCTCCAGAACTGGTGCTGCACCCGGAGGCTAGTATTGGGCCAGGACTCTCCCTGTGGGATCTGAATGCAGCCTGGACCCTTCACAGTCCACAGTGAAGAACACCCCCTGCCTCCTTTCCCAGCTCCACAAACCACCTCTTTCTAGAAGCTCTTTGTGGCCTGGCTCCACCTTGGTCTCTGCCCTCCACAGCCTCGAGGATTTCAGAGTCCAAACTGCTTCCAGGACTTCTCATTAGGTTTTTCTTTTGAATATGTGATGTTTGGGAAGAAGGGGCGGGGGGAAATCTTTGTGTCACGTCAACAGGGTTCAGTAACCTGTGGAGCGTTTCGTGTACGTGCCGATGCTTGTGCGGCTACATGTCGGCGTGTGCGTCTCTGCGTGGTTACGCGGGGCAGTCGCTCCTGAGAAATGCAGTTGGGAGTGTGGGGCTCCACGAGAGGGGTGCGAGTTATTCATGGCAGAGGTTGGGGAGGGGGCATCCGCGGGGTGCCTCAGCATAGTGCATGCGTTTCATTAGCAGGTCCCTGTACACGTGTGCTCAGTGTGCGTACGCATCGCGGTGTCTGCGCGAGCGTGGACTCGCCGTGAGCGTGCATGTGAGTGCAGAGGGGAGGGCTGGGCGTGCTGCGGTGAACAGCACGTGCGCTGGGGGAGCAGGCGGGAGGGGAGAGGCGAGTAAAGCTCTCGGGTGAAGCTTCCAGCACTCCCATCAACCACAGGAAAGAAACTTGCAGGTGACTGCCAGAAACACGGATATTTAGTCTGTGGCACTGTGCAATGTTCCTATTACCACTGAGTTTAGTTTTTGGCGTTGGCCTTTATCCGTTATGCTTTCAAAATGAAAGGCCAAAATCTGTGCTGTATGTTGTTGCCTCCTCATCTGCCTTGGCTTTCCCACAGATCCGTTGCTCTTTGTGCCTGGGGGCTGGTGTTGATCCTGTCCTTTGCTGTGGCTTGGATTTGTCTTTTCTTTATTCCTTTGTTTTTCCTTTTTAAAGAGAAATGTTTTAAAGGAAAATCTTCCAGTTTGTCATGTACCAAAACTTACTAGCGCACACAGGAATGCAGAAGTTATGCTAGAATAAAGAAAACCTCCTGACAAATGGTTTTATGTCAGTGATTCATCTAGCATCATAGTCTAAGCAAGTGAGGAAACATTGCTTTTTTTCTGACAAGCAAATGGTTCCGCGCTAATCACCCTGTGCTTTAGTTTTATTTGGGAGGTAAAGCTATAGCGTAAAAATGGTGTTAATCCAGAACCTTTCACTGCACTGCCACCACCAAATATAACCAAACAAAGCAACCAAAGTTAAATCGAGCGTGTAAGCTTGAGGAAGCGCGAAGATGGCAACACGATCTTAACTCTGTCCCTCGGGCCTTGCAACATGCAAAAGCTCCCAGGACTGTTCTTCACCTCCTTTGCAAGTGTTCTGTAAAGTTGAAAATTGTGCACACTGGCATTTCTCTATGTGCAACAGAGGCTTGCTGTTTAGCGTTTGCAGCATGGGTCTACTGAGGTTTATGGCTTAGGAGTGAAAAGTTGAAAAGTGCAGCGTGGTTTGGCTTCTGGTGGAAAGGCTGGAGAGATTGCTCAGGCTCTGTGATGGGGCGCCATCACAGATATCCAGGCAATCTGGGTCGGGTGAGGCTGCAGTTGTGCAGCCGGGGACAGTGGAGAGGTCTGAGAGTTTGCAGTTGTTCCTCTCCATATGTTTTTAGGAATTGGTGCTTATTTTCTGAAGGCCATCTCAGCAAGGAGAAAAGCTGAAGGTACGCTTCCTAAGTGGAAGTTGTGCAGTCAGATCTTCAGTGATTTAAGGCTTTTTTTTAAGCAGTCGTGATTAAAGTTCCAGGATCTCCCAGGGGTATACAATACTTATGTAAAACTGACCCACTTAAGCTTCACAGAGAGGCTTCTGTCATGAGAATAACTTGAGTACATCGCAGCTGGAGTTTTTAGGCCAACTGCATCTGTCTTGCTTTTTCTTTCTTACTCTTTTTATCGTAAGAGACCACCCTCCCCACCTCTTCCATGTGAAAATGCAGAGCTCTGATCTCTTTCCAGCAGTTACAGAAACATTACATGCAAAAATAAGTGTGTGTGGGGGGGTATTTTTAACACAGTGCTTAAAATATTATTGTATTCAAATCCTTTTATCACTAATGCTTAAAGCCCTAACTTGCAACACACAAACCTTGATTTGAAGTGCGCCAGTGCAGCGGCTGAACTAGGCACAGGTGCCTACTTTTGGGGTATGCAGCAGGGTATGGTTTGGAAACAACAAGTATTGCGTAGCAGTGAAAACTGTAGCAATGTACTGCTGGTGCTCTGCAAAGTGAGAATAACCCTTCTGCTTCTCTTTAGGCTGCACATTCAAATGCATTTGATGGGTCAATACCAGTTGTGAGAAGGAACATGCAGATATATTTGAATGGCACATTTGGATAAACAAGTCTGCTCCTCTGAATGTGAGTTTGCTCCAATCTTTCTCTGAGGAAGTAGCTAGGAAACCAGGCACAAAAACCTGTTACTATAACATTAGCAGTAGATGTGCCAGACTTCTAGCAGCTGGCAATCTGGACGCCTTCAGTGGAGTCACAACAGCTTCTAGCTGTTGAGTAGTAGACCTTAACATTTCTAATTGTCTAAACAGAAAGCCATAGAACAGCTTTTTTGAGGCCCTAAGGTGTGCCCTAGAAAGAGCTTTCAGGCATAGAAGTTAATAGCACAACATTCAAACTACCTATTAAGATAAAGCTTTGCTCTCAAAAAAACTTGTATTCCCTTTGCTTGGATTTTGTGCATTTTGGATGCTAACCATAACATAGTGGTATAAAATGTTTTGTTTGGAGCCGATACCAGTCTGGGATCACATCTGGAACAAAAACAAAACAAAAATGGATGGGTCACCCAGGGCCAGCTGGGTACGCCTGCAAAACCCACAGACAAATCTGCAGCAATAAAATTAATACCTGTTATAGGCAAGAGACTCTGCTACACCTGTGATATGCAAAGCATGTCTCCTACAGCACGTTTGGGAAAGAGCAGAAAGCAACTTAAGTGCTCTAAAGTGGCCTCTCCCTGGGACAGCGTTTACAGGGAGGAAAGGCAGTCTGGTAAGATCCTTAAAAAAGGAGGAAAAGAGAAGGGGGGGAAGAAAAAAAAAGAAAAGCAGGTGAGAAGAACAGAGGTGATGGGGTGAGAATGTGCTCAAACACTAGGAAATGTGTGGAGCTTATTTAAAAAAAAAAAAAAAAAAAAAACAACCCTCAGCTGACTTTGGCAAAAGAATTAGAACTCTTTTTATTATCAAATAATTAACTCTACAATGATTCAAAATTGTTCCAGTCAGAGCTTCCAGCAGCTTGAGCTGGCCTTGCTCAGCTGGCATGGGGGGCAGGCACGTTGATAGCATTTGTCTCCTGATTAGCAGAGATTTGATCCAAAGAATAAACACTACATGTCTGCAGCAACAGAAAGATCATGACGAATGAAAAACGTCTGTGGAGGAGCTATGAAAGGAGCTGGTAGATGCTCAGTCCAGTGTAGGCAGCTTGAAAACTCCAGACTCTGAAAGTGATTGTGGCTGCTTAACTTCTGGCCTGCCATAAGGTCTGACCTTTGTAGCTTTTGCAACACCCAGTCTTTGAAAATCAGGCCCTCTGTGGGTCTTTGAGCGTGGACGGCTAGAGAAGAGGGAGACCCAAACCACAAGCTGCATATGCAGATCTCATCCATCGTGTTGCGCAAGTCCTGCAGGACAGTCAGTGAGCTCCTGGCCATGCTTAATGGCAAACATCTCATGGCTGGACAACAGCATCTTCAGGTGGTGCACCAACTGGGTGACAAAGCCAGAGCTGCTGAAGAGAAGAGGGAAGTCTCAACTAAGGGGCGCTGTGATGAGGTGAGGCTAGGAGGGATCGGGGTGCAGTGACTATTAAACTGTTCCAAAATATCAGAACCAGTTTGCAGCTTGGCATTCAGTCTCCGCTTCCTTTATGGGTGAAGGCCTCTTTGCTCTACTTGCGGGGCGGCTGGATTCAGCCACAAGCATCCCCTCCTCCCCAGACTGCCAGTCCTATGTACGTTGGCTGCTGCAGAGCCTCTTGACAGCTCCCTGCTGGGCTTTCTCTTCTCTACCTATGCTGGGCATGACAACATCTCTCTTTCAAGGTGAACATCGTTTTCCAGCAGCAGGAAGCCAGCTGTCCTATTTGCCTTTTGCATCCAGCTAAAAATAGAAAGAACAGACAGGTGTTTGCTAGCGTATTTCAAACCTTCCAGCCCCTGTTAGCTCAGGGAGTGATGCTTGCAAGGACCAAAACCCCAGAGCAAGGAGGAGTTCATATTTCATGCATTACCACATTTGCATTAGCTTTATCCATCAGTGATTTACAGCAGCGCAGCCACTAAATCAAGGATTGGTTGCTCTCATATAAACTCCAAATGGCTTGTAGTGAAGAATCAAAAACCTAACAGAAGGACTATTGATTCCTATTCATTCCTATCCCATAATCTGATGAAAGAAAGGACAACGTTGATGTTAAACTGGCATCTTGAGCCCAAGTTTTTCTCTTGGGTCAGATACACTGTCTGTACATGACTTCTTCGGTTAAAAATATAACCTGCCTCTTATACAGCAAGCACAGCCTTACTGTAGACAATGGAGCTGTGCCTATTTACACAAGCAGAAGAGTTGGTCCAGCCCAGAAGTTACACAGTCTACTTAAATGAAAACAAGTTTAAAAAGTCTTGTCAAACGTGGGAAAAATCTTCCCAGTGGGTCTAAAATACAGTAGTGATAATAATACTTTAATATTAAAACTCAAAGTAATTGAGAATTCTCTCATCTCTAATTTCTCACTTCTGAAGTTCAGCTCTCAAAGGAGCACAGATGTCAAAAGAACATCACAGGGAAATAAATGACTGGAGAGGAAAAAAGAAGTCACGTCTTTAGTTAGCAATTCAGTGCTGCCAGGCTGAGTCGGTGCCCTCACTCCTGCCTGCTGCTTGGTGTTTGTAGCATGTCCGGCCCTTGCAGCACCTTTTCGGGTCTCAGACGTATAGCACAGTCATTACCACTATTACCTATTTTTCACAAAGAACTAGAAGAACCACTAGAAATGGAACCAAAGCAAATCAGCACAGAAAGAGCAAAACCTCCACTAAGGTGGCTTGGGTCCTTGGCTTATTTCAGCAATTATAGATTTACTCATGTTAATGCCGCTAGTGGCATTAGTAGCATTGCCGGCTCAGACCCTAAGCCAGGGCAAATCAGCATAAAATCAAATGCATGAACAGCAGTTTCACCACCTGAGAACATGCCCCACAGTATTTCTCTGTGTTTATCATTATACACCTGTGAGGGAAGCAATGCATGAGGAAGAGAAGGTGTGTCTTTCGTGCTGATGAAGTGCAAAGGTGAACCCTCTGCTGACTTACAGGACTGTACTGGACTAATTCTGGTCTTGTCACTTCCAGCTCCAGGAGAACTTCCCTAAATCTGGAGGGCTTTTCCAAGGTGTTCCCTTTGGGAACGAATAAAAATCCCGCTGAAATCAACAGAAAGCTTTCCAGTAACTGAGCGGGTCACTGGGTGAAGCCCTAAAGCTCTCTCACTCAACCCAAACTGTGGCCTTTTCTGTATGTTCCCTATTTCTGCATCTGAGGGTGGCAGATCTCTGTCCTCCCCCTCCTGTACCGCTAAAACATTCAGCGATGCAGCACTCCCTCTGCTCTGTGGTACTGACTGTGACTGCCTTCACTGTGAAATGCCCCTGAGGGGGGGTTTCTTTCTTTCTTTCTTTTTTCTTTTTTTTAAACGCCCTTTTGCACCTTATCTGCAGTCCCTCCCTCTGAACAGACTGCAAGCGTGGCAATAGCTCTGTGGTGCAAGTGTCTGATCCCAGCAAGCGCCATCTGCTCCCCTGCTGGGAGAACTCTTCGGCGCAGGGAATGAAGAGGCTGAGGGAGACGGGGCCCCGAGCCCCTTCCCACCTTTTCTTTTTCCTTCTGAATTAGTGTTTGCATCTCTTCATTCCAGTCCAGTAGCTCCACCAGCTTCTTGACCCCACTGACCACATCCCCCAGCTGGGCTATGTCGTTGTAACGTTGCTGCCAGGCGAACGGTCCTACGAGGTCCCGGTTGATCAGGACTCGGGGAACGGAACTGCGAACAGCGCCTGCCAGGCTGGCAAAGGGCTCCACCTAAAGGAAGGCAACCCAAAGGAGCAAAGAGAAACAAGTCACCCTGCTGAGGGACGCTGGGGGGCATGAATCCACTGCATTGCTAAGCTTTAAGGACTTGCAGCCTGCATGTAAGGCTTTAACACTTCTCCTACCATGGACTAAGCTACCCCAGCTTTGAATAGATTACGTAGGACAACCCAGCTCCGAGTCACTCCAGTTATCCAGTGGCCTTTCCTCAGGTAGCCACAGAACTCATCTCTTCCTCTCCAGGTGCCCACCTTTACCAGCAACATACAAGTTTTCCGAGGGCCACGTCTCAGAGTGCACGTACCCTATTTCTTACCCTGCTGCCTCCGATTTAATCTGCTCCCGACCCCAATTTCTTACTTTCTCCTTTATACCCGCCCCTCTCCTCCAGAGTTCCTCAGGACCTGTTCCCAAGTGCCTTTTTCTCCTTGTGAGCCTGGGTCTTCCCTAGCCCCAGACCTCCAGGGACGTTCCAATGACGAAAAGCAGGTCTGCCATGGGGAAGTCGGTCACGTGCAGGAAGAAGCGGTGCGGGAGCTCCTCACCAAAGAACACAATGTCAGGCTTGACAATTCCAGTGCAGACAGGACAGTGAGGGACCTTGTCTGCCATGACGTCCCCCTGGAGCAAGAGCACCCAACACCACTCGTTATGGGGCAGCAGGAGCACGTACCTGCACGCATAGGATCAGAACCACATCACATCCTCACAGCAACATCCAGCCCCACTGTTTCCCCGCGGCAAGTCTGATCTCCTTCAATTAGGCTTCTTGGCCCTGAAGGCAAAGTAACAGGCCTGCAAGAGGCAGTCCTCCTTGCGTTAGTTTCTGTGTCAACGCCCAGCTGTGACCACTCACCCTAAAGTCCTCTCCTGCGAATGTCCTTCGACAGACGGTACAGGTGGCAGTGGCAAAGGTGCCGTGGGCTTCTACCAGTCTATCAGGAGGGATCCCAGCAACTAGAACGCACACGTGGTAGATGATCGACTCAGCACAAGGGGACTGAACCAGAAACTCCATGTTCGCTGGGCATTTCTCCAGTCCTGCCTCCTATTCTGCTTCTTACCCTCCTCCCCTCCTGGCACTCTGCTGCTGAGCGCCAGGGAAGAGGAAACTCACCTCTCTCCAGCCCGTCAATATTCTGAGTATAGAGGCGCAGGAGAAGTCCCTTGTCATGCAGGAGCCTCAGGAAATAGTGGGCGTAGTTGGGTCTGTAATTGCCAGGGTAGAGCTCCTTGGCCAAAGTGAAGAAGGGCTTCGGATTGAGAAAGAAATAGTTCAGTTCAAAGATGGCTTCTGGGTAAGGGATGTTGTACTGCTCAAGGTTACTGTAGAGGCCGCTCCCCGGGGACCTGCAGAGAGAGACAGAGGCTGGTAGTCAGAATGCAGGAAGATATACCACCCATCACAGACCCGGACCCAGGGAGATGACAGAGCAGATGGCCAGATCTTTGGGTTCCCTCTTGCTGCTTTGTGCCATCCGTTCAGAGCAAAAGTGCCCTAGGAGAGCAGCTGAAATTCATACCTCCACCCAGCATGAGACCCAGCCTCACACCCCCGCTTCAGTGCCACCCCGTCTCCTCCTGGGTGCAGAGGTGCGTTCAGGGTCTGATGAGGGTGGGAAGGGCCACGCTGGTACGTTGTGTGGAGCGTGCTCTGTTCTAGCTGCAGCGCCTCTAACCCACGCCAAGGACACGTTGGTTCTTCTCTAGCTGCTTAAGTGAGGCACTGGCTGCAGCCAAAGAATCAAGCAACAAGCATGACTCAATCGTCCGGAAGATCTGGCCCAACGAATGGCCCAGAGCCCGGACTGCTGAGCCTGACTCTAGTCCGGAGTGAACTAACACAAGGGATAGAGGGAAAGACCAGCAGGCACCCGCATTACCGAGGCTGAAGGTCCTAGCACTGCCAGCGCCGAAGAAGGATAAATGAAATGATGCAGGCGTTACCTAAAATCCGGGATGCCGCTGGGGGTGCTAATGCCAGCGCCAGCCATCACCACTACTCGGTGGCACTCCTTCTTCCGAACCAGCTCTGCCACGTTCTGCAGGGTGAGCTTCTGCTTCCCACCGTCGTCTCCCCAGCTACCCACTCCTAAGACGGCTCTGACAGCAGCAGATAAAGAGAAGGGCCTGATCCCTCGGATCCTGCTCGGAACAGAGAGAAAGCACAGCAGGTAGCGCAAAGACAGAGACTTCAGCTGAAAGAGCTGCTCAGGGGGACGAAACCACCCCAAGCATTTGGCGGAAAGCTCCTCAATCCGCAGGGCTGCGTGTCAGTACTCTGTTGCTGAGGAGAAAGCTCGGCCAGGCGTCTTAAGTCACATCCCGGGGGCAGATCCTTCGCGTGGCGCTTTCTCCGATCTCAACAAACTGATGTTAAACCTCAAACCGTGACAGGGTGGGTTTTCCGGGGGCACA